GGGAGTTGTAGCTGGAGACCCTGGGGCTGGGGGTGCTGGTGCTGTCTCTGCTGGTTCCGGAGGTGCTGCGCGGCCGCGGCCGTACTACGTTCCGCTCCTTCAGCAGGTTCTTGGCCTCCCGCCCTCTACTGGTCCTACTCCTCCCCTACTGAGTCCACCGCCTGTCCAGTCGCAGTCACAGTTACAGCCAGCCTCTCCGCTGCCTGGTCCTTCTCCTTACACTGCGCCGACGGGTAGTCTTATGGAGCGTCGTGAGCCTGAGTCTCGTCCAGAGTCGCCTGAGTCGAGTCCAGAGTCGCCTGTCCCCACTGTCCGCGCTGGTCGTCGTGCTCCGCGTCAGCGTCCTCCTCCTGTCCTTGGCACTCACTATATGACTCTGCGTCCTTCCACTGCTCCACAGCGTGTCCCTCTGCCGTCTCCTCCTGCGTCCTCTCTTCCTGACGTTGCTGACCCGCCGTCGGACCTTGCTCGTGCTGCCAGTCCTACTGTCACGCGTCTCCTCGCCACTGTTGTCACTGACCCTTCCTTTGAGTCCTCTGCTGCGTCTGCTCTAGTCGCTGAGCTTGTTGACTTTGCTGCCGCCTGTCATCTAGACTACGCCGCTAGCCTTGTTGCTGAGTCTGAGTCTGTCTGTCCTCCGTCCGTCGGGGGTGAGTGTGCTCTTGGCACGGACGTCCTTGAGGACAGACAGGAGGAGTTTGAGTGCTTTGCCGCTGCTTTACCTCATCTCGTGTCCATGCTGATTGCCCCTGAGGGAGACCCGGATGCACCAGACATCCCGACCCCACGCTCTTACGCAGAGGCGATGGAGGGTCCCTACTCCTCTCAGTGGCAGACAGCCATGGACGCAGAGATGGCTTCCTGGAAGTCCACAGGCACCTACGTCGACGAGGTTCCCCCACCTGGGGCGAACATCGTCAGTGGCATGTGGATTTTCAGGGTGAAGCGGCCGCTGGGTTCTCCGCCTGTCTTCAAGGCGCGTTACGTTGCACGAGGCTTCAGTCAGCGAGAGGGAGTTGACTTCTTCCAGACCTTCTCCCCGACCCCGAAGATGACCACTCTTCGGGTTCTGCTGCACGTCGCCGCTCAGCGTGACTACGAGCTCCACTCTCTTGACTTCAGCACTGCTTTCCTACAGGGCAGCCTGCACGAGGAGATCTGGCTGCGCCGCCCACCTGGCTTCACTGGGTCGTTTCCTCCTGGTACCCAGTGGAGCCTCTGGCGGCCAGTCTACGGTCTCCGCCAGGCACCCCGTGAGTGGCACGACACACTGAGGACGACTCTTGCTGCTCTTGGGTTTGCTCCTTCTACTGCTGACCCGTCGCTGTTTCTACGCACCGACACCACTCTGCCGCCGTTCTACGTTCTCGTGTACGTAGACGACCTGGTCTTTGCTACTGCTGACACTGAGGCACTCGCCCACGTGAAGTCGGAGCTGCAGAAGAGACACACGTGCACTGACCTGGGTGAACTGACAAGCTATCTTGGCTTGCGGATCACCCGGGACAGAGCACAGCGCACCATCACCTTGACTCAGTCACACATGGTGCAGCAGGTCCTTCAGCGCTTCCGCTTCACGTACTCCTCGCCTCAGCCCACTCCTCTGCCTACCGGTCACTCGCTCTCAGCTCTGCCTTCGGATGAGTCCGTAGAGCCGAGTGGCCCGTATCCAGAGCTTGTGGGCTGCCTCATGTACCTGATGACCTGCACTCGACCTGACCTTGCATACCCTCTTAGCATCCTAGCGCGCTATGTCGCTCCTGGCCGTCACCGGAAGGAGCACATGGATGCCGCTAAGAGGGTGTTGCGACTTGTGCAGTACGTCGGGCATGGGGCTTGTGCTTGGAGGACGGAGCGACGTTGTCCTCACTGGGCACTCAGACGCTTCTTGGGCTGACGACCAGGCTACGCAGCGGTCGTCTCAGGGTTACACGTTCAGCCTTGGCTCTGGTTCAGTTTCTTGGCGTTCTACACGCTCGTCTTCAGTTCTCAGCTCCAGTTGTGAGGCTGAGATCTACGCCACAGCCATGGCTGCACAGGAGTTACGCTGGCTCACCTACCTGCTGACCGACCTGGGAGAGCGGCCTCGTTCTCCTCCAGTGTTGTACGTCGAAAACAAGGCCGCCCTTGCCTTGTGTCAGGAGCACAAACTGGAGCACTGAACGAAGCACATCGCTATGCGCTACTTCCTTGCTCGAGAGCTGCAGCAGCGTGGTCAGCTTCGTCTTGCGTACGTGGCCACTCGGGCCAACACTGCTGATGTGTTCACCAAGGCGCTTCAGCCTTGTGATCATCAGCGTTTCTGTACTGTTCTAGGCCTTGTGCCTACTGTCCCTCACTTGCTCACTTCTTGACTCTGCTTGTACTGTGATCTCTATATATATACCTGCATGCTTGCACTTGCTAGGTTGTGATCACTGTACCTCTTGTTATATTATCAAACTGCATGTGAACTGGTCATGTGACCGCTTGCTTGTGCTCGGAATTTGTGTGGTATCCTTGAGATCCACCCTGAGCTTGTTTTGCTTTGCTTTGCTTTGACTGGTCTTGTGACCCCTTGCTCTCCCCCACTTAGCCTATGGGGGTGTGTCAAACATTATATATGTTATAGTTGTGTAGGCTATAGTGGGTTAGCCTTCTAGGGGGTACACTACTCTAGGGTTTGGTACTTGTACTCCCATTCCCTTTCTAGTTCATCATTCTCATTCATTCTTAGTTTCTAACACACACGTCATTACGAATTCTTCTCGCGATCGCCGCTATGAAGAAGAAGCTGCGGCAAATTGATGTCGCCAACGCATTTCTCTACGCACCTGTCGACGCAGAAATCTTCGTCGGGCTACCGCACGGCTCCAACGGAGAGCCTAACCAAGTCTGTCAGCTGTTCAAATCGCTCTATGGCATCAAACAAGCTCCGAGGTTGTGGCAACAGTACCTGCACGCAAGACTCATTCGCATCGGATTCCGCCAGCTACCTCACGACCAAGGCATGTACCGGCTCACAAAGGGCACCGACTACATCCTGCTGATCGTCTACGTAGACGATTTGCTCTACATCGGCTCAACCGACGGGTTCACCACCTGGTTCGAAGGGGAGCTGCAGCAAGACCTCACGCTCACAGTCTCATCCACAGTCACGCAATACCTCGGCCTCAACATTCAGGAAGAAGAAGACGCAATCTACCTCAGCGCCGCGAAATACGCCGACACCATCGCTAAACGCTTCGCACTCACGCCGACCACCATCTCCACGCCATATCGCTACGCGGCAAGAAACAACAAGGAAGGATCCACTCCGCTAAAGCCCGCCGGTATACGCGACTACCAGAGAAAGCTGGGCTGCCTTCTCTTCGCAGCCGTCACCTGCCGTCCGGATCTGTCGTACTCTGCAAGTCAGCTCGCTACTTACCTCAAGAAACCTGAAGCGGATCACATGGCGGAGCTCGACCGCGCTCTTCACTACCTCGTCAGCACTCCGACGATCGGCCTGACCTATCACAAGAACGGGACTACAACACCTAAACTAATCGGCTACGTCGACGCCGATCACGCCGGCGACTCCGACAACAGACGCTCGCGCACCGGCTACATCTATCGCTTCGAGCCTATCGGGCCTATCTCCTGGCAGTCGAGCAAGCAAGAATTAATCGCCCTCTCTTCAGCTGAAGCAGAATATATCGCACTCTGCTCAGCCACCAAGGAAGGAATGTACCTTCGCGAACTCCTGGAGGAAGCCAAGCTAGCCCAGTTACCAAACTTCACCCTGTTCTGCGACAACCAGTCGGCCATTCGCATAGCCAACAAGAACGGCTTCGCGAACAGGACGAAACACATCGCCCTGCGATACTTCTTCGTGAAGGACGAGATCGAGAAGGGGAGACTCGAACTGTCATACTGCCCCACGTCCGAGATGGCAGCTGACTACTTGACCAAGAAGCTCGGAAAGCAAAAGTTCGAGTACTGCATGCTGCTGACTGGACAGAGCCACGTCACCAGCAGCGACACTCCAGAAGCGAAGGGGAGTGTTGGAAACAATTAATTGTAAGCGCTCTGTCGTGTCGAAACACCAAGTCAGAAGCGAAGCAAAGCATATCAAAGCACTGGCGAGTCAACCCTCGGAGGTTGAGCAGTTGCTGGAGGTTACGCAAAAGTCAAAGGTCGGCAACCTTTGACCTGACAAGTACAGCACGACAGCAAGGACACACAACTGACTCGCTACAGAGCAGTTGCCCGAGTCGTCACTGTATCGAACCGCAACAGCAACAGTAAAGTAGTTGCAACCGTATCTCTTCGTATTCCTTGTACTCTTATATAATCTTGTATCTCTTTGCTTTAATCAATCTACTTTGCCCTCACATACTAGCGCAAGGTGGTTCAGAGACTTGTCATTAAACGCTTCCGCTATTACATCATTCCTACTCAGAGTTTAGTCCTGCAAAGATCCTAAGGGCTTTTTCTCAGCCCAACAGATTGCAAGTGATTGATGGTGGTACTGAAGTCTGCAAGTTGCATTGAGGCACTTGTCAAGACATGACTCAGGAATGACCACCTGTTGCCTTTGCACTGCACCCCAGCAGCAGCAAGCATCAAATTTCATCCCACCTACACAACACCCACCAGATCAGACTAAAACAACCGCGATCACATCGAATAATCTCTTTGCATTGCATCACACCCCCTAGCACCGCACGAGACCCATTCATTTTCACACGAAGGTTCTGAATGAAGCACACGGACTCCCAAGGACACGGTTCAGGCCACTCACTGTCTGCTGCCTTGCCTGCAGCACCAGCTCCCATCGCCCACTCTCTGAGCGCACAACTTGAATAAGCACTTCGAGCGCGCATGCCGAGCCGTGCCGAGCCGTGCCGAGCCGTGCTGTGCCGTGCCGTGCCTTATTTCCAGCCTCTCAGATTCCCCACTCGTGTAACCCTGGATAGGATGGAGTGAAGCTCTAGTGTAGAAGCAGGGGAGGGAAACATCTCTCCACTTGCCCGCTCATGCCGCTCTCCTTCAACTCCTGTTTCCCCTCTGCTCTTGCTTGTTCTGCCACGCCCCCTGCTCTTTCCCCCTACCCAACACCCACCGCCACCCAACACATACGCTGCCCCTGGAAGGGCTAGGTGAAGCTTTCACCTCCACCGTCCTCTCCGCCCTCCTCGCTCCCCTCTTCCCCCTCCTCCCGTCCCCTCCTCCCCCTCCTCCCCCTCCCCCTCGCCCCTTCCCCCTCCTACCCTCCCCCCCGTGTATCCGCACACGGCATCACTGCAGCGCGCATCCGCACACGGCATCACTGCAGCGCGCATCCGCACACGTCATCACTGCAGCGCGCATCCGCACACGTCATCACTGCAGCGCGCATCCGCACACGTCATCACTGCAGCGCGCATCCGCACACGTCATCCTCGTCGGACGCGTCGTATCTGCGTCGCCTGGGCGGCAGGCGAATATCCTCCCACTCCACGTCGCTGCGCGCAGTGCAGAGGGAGTGGGGGAGGCAGAGGTATGGGGGTAAGGGACGGGAGGGGGATGGGGGAGAGAAGGGGCAGAAGTTGGAGGGGGGAAGGGGCGAAATTTTTGGCGGAATGTCCTCGAATTCCACCGCGCGCAATGCAAATGCAGGGGAAGAGAGAGCGGAGAAGGGAGAGGTAGGGAGGGAGGGAGAAGAGGGTTGAAGGCCTGGGGGGAGTAGATGGGGCTGAAGCCAGGAGGACATGAGCGAGCGGAAACAGGTTCAGTGCACCCGGTCGCACATCGTCGCACATGGTCGCACGTGGTGGCAGAACGCGTGTATTGTTACAGCCTCAGGCGACGCACCTTCGCTCAAATTCGCGAACATCGACGAGCGACCCGCCGTCCTCTTCGTCGCACCACCGAACCCGCTGCCCCTTGCTGTTGGGCGACTTGCTGGGCGATCCTGTCGCACGCGCCGGCGACACCGGCGGGAATCTGTACGGCCCGAAAGGCCACGTGGCGCTGAAGGGTCGGTCGTCGTAGAGAGTCAAAGCAGGTTTGAAGGAGTCAACTTCCATTTGTTGAGCCAGCGCGCCACTCGGCGATGATTGGCCAATCAGCGGCTCGACAGGCCTTGCGCTGCCGGCGGTGGAAGAATCGGAAGTTTCGAACGAATCTTCGCTCCCGAACGACGAAAATCCACTGCACGACTCGTCACTGCTTGACGATTCGTCGTCGCTTGACAAGTCTTCGCTGTCGCACGATAGCTCGCTGTCGCACGAGCTTTTGCTGTCGCTTGAAGAACGCACCGCCCCACACTGCGCGTCCTGTCCCTCCCTTACATCCCCCTTAGCCGTTGACTCGATAGGATCGCGTGGCGTCTGTTTACACGTAACGATCTCATCACCTGCCGCAAGATGTTCGTTAGTCGTTTCTCGATACGACTCACTGACAGAAGGAAGGTAATTTCCTCGTCGGGACTCATCGAATAGCTGCGTCTCGGGGGGTACCAGAGCTTCACACTCGCCATACTCGGCCCCGCAGCCTCCTTGCCGAATGGACGACCGCGAAACCTCGGAGAGCTCTTGCAAGAAATCCCGCAGCTGAAGGGAAGGCTTGGCACGAGGCTGAGTGGATAACCAGAGGCTGTAGCTCAGGATAGGAACGGCGAGAGGCACAGGGAGAGATAGAGGGGACGTGCAGTGCAGGTCGACTTCGGAAGACTCGAATTCAACAAGGGTCATGGCTGCGGTCTGTTGAATGGCCGTTGTACGAGGCGCAATGTAAAGGGTTGCTGCCAGATTTGGCGTTCTATGGCTTATCACATGTCGCGTTCACTAGTCCTCCCGGTCGTTTTAGTAGAAAGAGGAGCGCATAGAGTTCGAGCGGGAGATTGGCGTGACACGGGAGTTGAGTTGATTTGAGAGAAGCAGAGCAGGCGCCAACTGCGGCGCTTTTCCCTTTTCTACCAACAATGGTGGCGACTTTCTCGACCTGCTCCCTATCGACCCCAAATAATGCCCAACCATGAAGCTCACACCGCTCTGGTTGCAACTATCGCACCAGCGGGCTCAAAGGGGCAAGCTAGAAAGGAAAAAACATGAAATTTTGTGTGCTGTATGCGGCGAGGCGATAATCGTCCAGCCGAACCGGCCAGTAGAGGAAATTCTGGGCACCGGATAGGCTCGGCAAGGGCAATTGACGGTGCGCGATCTGAACCGTCCCTCAACGCCATTCCATACCACACCTCGAGGTAGGGACAGTTTGCCCTGCTTGTTGGGAATTTGGAACGCATTACACGTACAGACAAAAGTCAGACTTCACGGTGGTGCAACCCAATTGGCCCAAAAACGTTTTGCTAGTCGCGAAATCGTAGTGTGTGTGTCTTACCGCGAATCATTTCGAAGATGGTTTGGTGTAGAATTGCAGGTTTGGTGCAGCTGGAGGGAGGGAACGGGAGGCGCGCGACATGGTGGAGACTACAGGCTGCAATTATTCATACATCAGAGTTCGGGCATCATAAAGTTTGAGGAGCGTAGAATTTGCGGGTCTACTCCAAGGCATCCAACATTGGTCAAGGAGCTGAGCGCGTGGCAAACGCGATACACTTGGAAGTCACCGCATCGCCCTTGTAAAATGACTGTCTGTACGCGCAAGCGCTAACATCGACACCAGCCCCGTTAAATAGTCTTTTGCGACGGACAGTGGTCGTATAGTCAATATGATTGGCAGCATTGTGACTCAAATGACATCCATAATCTGCCAACAACACTCCTGCGCAATTAAATAAAGCTGCGGAGACGCTCACTAAATAGAGGCCCTTCGGGCATCATGAGATAGAATTATCGATTATAAAGATGCAAAGACCTGCCAATGGGATCATGCGGGTAGACGTCCTTCAAGCTCTCCTCTGCATCCAACCAAACCCATTGATCCTCCGGCACCCCGCTTACACAAAAATCACTACACCTATCCAAGTTATCATCTCCCATTTCCTCCATACCACTCCCATCAATACCCAAAACCTCCAACAACGCACTAGCCCCTCTCTCCCCAGCAGCCTTCGCAAACTCACTCCACGAAGCCCCCGCTTCATCTACACTCCGCTCCACTTTACAAGCCCCAGAAACAGTCGAATTCGCCCACTGGGAGCTATCCCTGGCGCGGCCGCCGCGGCACGGCGTGGGGGCAACCACAGCAGCGGGGTTTTCAAGGGCACGGGAGGAGTATTTGGCGAGGAGTACAGCCCAGAAGTGCACGCGCGAGTGCCATGTGCAGACGAGTGCTGCGAGCTCGTTGGCGTTGCGCACCATGGTGCGGACGGCAGCGTCGTTGCGCTGCATCCACTCTATCACACTGAATAGGTCCCGGAAACTGGGAGGGGGCAAGGGGTGGACGGGGGCGTGGGGGGGTTGGAGAGAAGAGGGGAAACGTTAGGGAGATGTTCCATGTGCTGTGAGCTCGTTGGCATTGCACACCATGGTGCGAACGGTGAGGTCGTTGCGCTGCATCCACTCTATCACCCTGAATAGGTCTCGGAAACTGCCGTGTGTGGGGGAGCAAGTGTGGGTGGGGGGGAAGATGGGAAGTTGGGCTGGTTCGTGGAAGGAGGAGAAACGGGGGTGTCAGAATCAAGAGGCAAGAATGGATTGACTAGGAAGCAAGGATGAGTACAAGTAGGGCAATGTCTAACCCTAAAGTGTTGTACTCAGTAGAGGCTACCCCACTACAGCCTACAACAGAGAAACCTAGTTTGACACACCCCCATAGGCAAAGTGGGGGATAGCAAGAACAACCAGAGGTCACAAAACCGGTCAAGCAAGAGAACAAAGCAAAGCAAAGCTCAGGGTGGATCTCAAGATCACCACGCATTCTGAGCACAAGCAAGCGGCCACAAGACCAGTTCACATGCAGGGGTATATATGCAACACAAACAGCACAGTGATCTCTACCTAGCAAAACAAGCATGCAGGTATATATATATATATATATCACAGTACAAGCAAAGCCTACAGCAAGTGAGGAAAACTGTGCACAAGCCCTAGCACGGTGCAGAAACGCTGATGATCACCAGACTGAAGTGCCTTGGTGAATATATCAGCAGTGTTGGCCCGAGTGGCCACGTAACGCAGACGAAGCTGACCACGCTGCTGCAACTCTCGAGCCAGGAAGTAACGCAGAGCAATGTGCTTCGTTCTGTGCTCCAGTCTGTGCTCCTCACACAAGGCAATGGCTGCCTTGTTGTCGACGTACAGCACTGGAGGAGAACGAGGCCGCTCTCCCAAGTCGGTCAGCAGGTAAGTGAGCCAGCGTAACTCCTGTGCAGCCATGGCTGTGGCGTAGATCTCAGCCTCACAACTGGAGCTGAGAACTGAAGACGAGCGTGTAGAACGGCAAGAAACAGAACCAGAGGCAAGACTGAAGGTGTAACCCTGTGACGACCGCTGTGTAGCCTGGTCGTCAACCCAAGAAGCGTCTGAGTGCCCAGTGAGGACAACGTCGCTCCGTCCTCCAAGCACGAGCCGCATGCCCGATGTACTGCACAAGTAGCGTAGTACCCTCTTAGCAGCATCCATGTGCACCTTTCAGTGCCGACCAGGAGCCACGTAGCGAGCCAGAAGGCCAAGAGGGTACGCAAGGTCAGGACGAGTGCAGGTCATCAGGTACATGAGGCAGCCCACTAGCTCTGGGTAAGGACCACTCGGCTCTACGGACTCGTCCGAAGGTGGAGCTGAGAGCGAGTGACCTGTAGCCAGAGGAGTGTGCTGTGCCGAGGACCAGGTGAAGCCGAAGCGCTGAAGGACCTGCTGCACCATGTGTGACTGAGTCAGTGTGATGGTGCGGCGTGCTCTGTCCCGGGTGATCCGCAAGCCAAGATAGTTTGTCAGCTCACCCAGGTCTGTGCACGTGTGTCTCTTCTGCAGCTCCGACTTCACCAGGGCGAGAGCCTCAGTGTCAGCAATGGCAAAGACCAAGTCGTCGACGTACACGAGGATGTAGAACGGCGGCAGCGAAGTGTCGGTGCGCAGAAACAGCGACGGGTCAGCAGTCGACGGGGCAAACCCAAGCCGCAAGGGTCGTCCTCAGTGTGTCGTGCCACTCACGTGGCGCATGGCGGAGACCGTAGACCGGCCGCCTGAGGCTCCACTGGGTACCAGGAGGGAACGACCCAGTGAAGCCAGGTGGGCGGCGCAGCCAGATCTCCTCGTGCAGGCTGCCCTGTAAGAAGGCTGTGCTGAAGTCAAGAGAGTGAAGCTCGTAGTCACGCTGAGCGGCAACGTGCAGCAGCACCCGAAGAGTGGTCATCTTCGAGGTGGGGGAGAAGGTCTGGAAGAAGTCTACTCCCTCTCGCTGACTGAAACCTCGTGCAACGTAACGCGCCTTGAAGGCAGGCGGAGAACCTGGCGGCCGCTTCACCCTGAAAATCCACATGCCACTGACGATGTTCGCCCCAGGTGGGGGAACCTCGTCGACGTAGGTGCCTGTGGACTTCCAGGAAGCCATCTCTGCGTCCATGGCTGTCTGCCACTGAGAGGAGTACTCACCCGCGATCGCCTCAGC